ATTGTTTGTGAATGGCAGGTCAGCCGTTTAAGCTCGACCCAAAGGCGGCCCACAGGAAGCTGAAGGTGTCACATGACCATCTGACGGTGGAGCGGGACGAAGCCTCGTCGATGAAGAGCCACGCTCAGGACCGCTTCGGCAGCACGGGGAACTACGGCGTGACGGGGAACGTGTTCATCGACAGCGGCAGGCACTACTGGGAGGTTCTGATCGGAGGAAGCACATGGTAAACGCACACATCTGCACAAATTTGTAAAACTGAACCATTCCATAAAATACACTTGCGTAGTTTTCTTGTCTTGTGACCAAACATCATCGTCATATCACTACATTAATATGACAACATATTGGAATATAACCAGAGTTATTTTAGTATTAATAATATATTATTATATGATTTATTACTATTTTGAATTAGTTTTTAGGTTTGTAATTTCAGTTTTTTTTTTTTTTTTTTTCATTTTTATTGGTTTTTGCTTTTTTTGTATATTTATATTTAGGTTAAAAAGTATTTTACTTCAATTTTAGTTTTAGTAATTTTATTTATTAACATTTTAGTATTTATATTTTATTTTATTTCATCATAATTAATTTTTATTTCTTAAAAACCGCTTTGGTGAGCAGAAGAGACTCAAAATCATAAAAAAAACCTGAATTATTCCAAACAATTGACTGGTAGAATGTGTAAACAAACTTGTAAATGTAAATGCATTCTCTCTGATTCTTTCTAGGTTTGCTATCGGTATCGCCTACAAATCGGCTCCCAAGCACGGCTGGGTGGGTAAGGACTCGGCATCATGGGTACTGAGCCGCTGCAACACCTCGTGGGCCGTGCGTCACAACAGTAAGGAGTTTCCCATCGAGCCGTCTCCTCACATGCGGCGTCTGGGAGTCCTGCTCGACTACGACTCCGGCTCTCTGGCGTTTTACGACGCCGCGGGAACGCAGCACCTGTACACCTTCGACGTCGCCTTCTCTCAGCCCATCTGCCCCGTCTTCAGCGTGTGGAACAAGTGCTTGACCGTCCTCACGGGGCTCCCCATCCCGGACCACTTAGAGATCAGCGACCCACGTGACTGAATGCTCCTCCTGTACTCCCGCTGTTCAGAGGAAGAGTTCTGACAAAAACGAAAATTTGCTGAAAATCTACTCACTCTCAGGCCATCCAAGCTGTAGATGAGTTTGTTTCTTCATCAGGTTTGGAGAAATGTAGCATTGCATCAGTGTCTCAGCAATGGATG